ATTTTGTCATGTTGCAGGAATTGAACGCGAGATTGCATCTTTGCAAATGGAGGTATGTTATTGAAGCCAATGCCTCTTTCAAATTTTAATCCATCTGCTGTCTCGTTATGGTTTAATCACTAATGAGAAAGAGTATCTGCAAATTTTAGGAGAGGAAATTAGTAGCAGAGATCAAGAAAACAGCGAAAACAGGAAATGAGGTGATTTTTCTTCTTGCCTCTCATTGATGCTCGGACGGCATATCATTATTTTCTTTTTTCGAATTCTACTTATAAAAGTTCTTCGTTTTGTTCAACTTCTAATCAGGCTGCCACTAAAATCTTAGCTCGTCAACTAGTTCGGCTCCGACAGCAAATAACAAATTTGCAGGGTAGTCGAGCTCAGATCAGAGGTGTGGCTACTCATACACAGGTGTCACACGTTAAATTAACATCATATAGCAATTATTTATTTATTTATTTATTTATTTATTTTGGTGGATCTTCATATACTTTGTGTTCAATTATATTCTAGGCCCTATATGCAACCACGTCCATTTCGACCGGTATGAAAGGTGCTACCAAAGCTATGACTGCTATGAACAAGGTTTGTTTCGAAACAATCCTTTTGATTAAAAAAAAAAANCTGCTCAGATGGACATGACGGTAAAAATCTAGCTCTCTTTTAAATTGGCTCCTTAATGGGGTTTTTGATTATTGTGAAAATAATTAATTAACACCCATTTGTTCAGATCGAGATGATGTCTGATGCAATTGATGAGACACTAGACAAGGATGAGGCTGAAGAAGAAACTGAAGATCTCACTAATCAGGTTTGCCTACTACTTACTCCCATTAAGAAAGCCTATAGATTTTTAACACGATCTTTACTTTTTGTCTTGTTTTTGTTCCATTTTTAGGTGCTTGATGAGATTGGTGTTGACATAGCATCGCAGGTTCGTTTTCATTTCTGTATTTTTAAAAGCTTTAAACGCCTTATAATATTCTCCTCAAATGTTGTTGCTATTGAGTATAAAGGGTTCATATTTAGAACTGGGAAAGTCAAATGCTAGTGATTCTGATGCATTTTCTTGATTCCTTGTTATAAACAGTTATCTTCAGCTCCGAAAGGAAGGATTGCATCAAAAAAAGTTGAAAATGCTGCGCCTAGGTAATGCACCTTCAAAGAGTTTCAGTCTTTTTTATTTTTTTTGCTTTTTATTTCCATATTTCAAGAAAAATGTGTACCTATGTTTTTTTTTTTTTTCTTTTCTAGCACATTCCTTTGATAATCCATTAATCCTCATTATATCTCATCACTTTTCGACTTTGGCTCTTGACCACAATTTTTGAGGGAAGAGCACGTGTTTGACACATCTAGATTCTAATGTACATTTTTTTCAACTACTTTGGAAGTATATATTTGTCTTGCTTTTCTTGGACCACCACCGTTATGTGAAAACCTTCTTTCTTTTCTTCTTTTACGACCATTTTCTCTTTTATTCAAGTATATAAACTATCACCTGAATAAATTTGAGTTATAATCTACTTGTCCTTACTAATGGTTTTACCGAATTATGCGATGGTATAATCTGAACTGTTGATTTTGGTAATTGAGAACAGTAATGATGTTTGTCATTTGTAATTTCAGTAACTCAATCTGTTAATTTTATTTCTGATTGTTATGATTTTCCCTTTTTGGAGTCAATTGGCTATCGAAAATTATCGCTTTCAAATAAGATGATATATAATTGTTTTAAAGTTGAAAGTAGAAATAATGTGGTAGTTGTGCAAATCTGATATGTGTGTTTGTGTGATTTTCGTACAGTGCTGCTAATGTATCTACTGATGTTGAGGAGCTGGAGAAAAGGCTGGCCTCTTTGAGACGAATATGAACTTCATAATCATGGCCAATTTCATGTATTATATTAGCTCTACTCATAAATATGATGTTTTTTAACATATAACTAATAGATTAATTAGTTACTTGAAAAGGTTTTTATTTTTCTTATTTTTTTCAACTATTTTGGTCCTTGGGACTTGGGAGTTAGATGTATGAGAATGCAGATGATGATTGAATTCTATATTTTTTTTTCATTGAATGCTTACATTGTTTAAATCATTGTAATAATTTTAAAATTGTAGTATGCTAGTCTACAACTCGAGTGATAATTAATAAAAATATTAAGAAATTTATATTTACAATTTTTTTTAATTAACATTTTTGTTACAAAAATTTCAATATTTCTCATTCTTTTTTCATTTTATATATTTAATATGAATGTTAAATTGGAAATTGGCAAGAGATGATTAATTTATATATTATCCATAATAATTAAATAATAAATATAAAAATATTTATTTTTATGTTTATAATTTAAGTCGATTAACTATTTTATTATTTTAAGTTGCTAATCTATGTAGATAAACTTTAAATCTGCATTGACAAATTTTGAATCATGTTTACACATTAGACTTAAAATATTAAAAAAAGGATACATGCAATTTGAGAATATCAAAATTCACATTTAAGTTCAGATAAATTCTACTTTATATATGGGAGGGACTATATTAAAAATAAAGTGATGATGCTACTCTTAATTACACTTTAATTTTTTAAAAAAAAAAGTAATTAACAAAATTATATGGAAGCAGCGTGTGGTTGCTTTATTGAATCACTTAGGGGTGATTGAATATTAATCCAACTATTAAAAAATTAGTTTTTTTTAATTATAGTTAAGTTTGAAAAAATGTGATATGGTTAGTTAGTAGTGAATATATTAAAATAATATTTAAAATAAAATAATTAAAGTTGATTTGATTTAAAGGTAGGATAAAATGATTGGAACTTGGAAGTGATGGTTAGTTAAAATTATGTGAGTTGATGAATAGTGAATTAAAGTTGATGTGGTGTGTAACAATATTTGGTTGATATTAATAATTATATTGATAATATTAGAGATAATAAAATTGAGTTAAAGTTGAGTTAAATTTAAGTTTTGATAAGTTTTTTACTGTACAATTTATACACAATCGCCCCTTTACAAATGTTGTGTTTACAAATGTCCCAAGTTTATAATTATTTAAAGCAAAATATTGGCTATCACAAAATGTGTCATTTTTAATTAATAATCAACCGT